TGCACTGGTAGAAATGGTCTTCTGCTAATCAGAAGGCTGAGGGGTTGGCTGCATATATAAGCAAACTCCTTGTCAATTTCAAGGCATGGCTCTCCCACCAGGGCCACAAACAGACCAATCACCTCTCAGTAAACCAGAGAGACGGGGGCAACAGAACCAAGAGGCATAAGACAGAGTGGCAGGCTTGCTGGCCCATGGGGTAAGTAAGCTGAGCCTTTGGGCAGGAGACTTACTGGTGGAATACAGTTGGTTGCAGGGGCTGATGAACCCAAAACTGACAAGTCAGGTGGTAAGCTGCTGCTTCATGTCCCAAGAACCAGAGGTCAGAGGATGATAAACTGGATACAAGATTGAGCGAGGGTGAGCTTTGTCAGAATATCCATATATGTGTGTGTGTGTGTGTGTGTGTATATATGTATGTACTGGATACAGGCCACACCCCCAAGGATGCTCCCTTTCAACTGATTGGCTGCTCACATCAGATCACAAAATGGAGGATGATTACATCATTACATAACTAGCAAACCACTGAGGATCATGACCTAGCCAAGTCATCTATAACCTTAACTATCACAAGGCTCAAGCTCCCCCAACACACTACCCAGGTGATTCTGATGTCCATCCTGGGCTGAAGACAACTATCCCAGGAGAATTTTTGTTTTAAGCTGCTGTTGAGTCTTCCCGTCTCTTGGCAACCCCATGCATAATAGAATGAAACTCTGCCCAGTCCTGCATCATCCCCATAGCAATTGATCAGCCCATTTTAACCCAGAGTTTTTATTGGCTGATTTTCAAAAGCAGATCACAGGCTTTTTTTCCTAGTCCTTCTTAAGTCTATATGATGGTTAATGCTATGTGGCAACTTGGATAGACTATGATTCTCAATAATTTGGTAGACAGTATATAATCACCACCCATTTTGTGATCTGATGAGAGCAGCTGTAAAAAGATAGTAGCAGCAGTAGCAGCAGAACCTATCTAAATTTAAGGAAGAGAATGACCAGGATCAGTCCAAAGCAGATTCTTATGAGGCGGAGATCAGACATGCTTCCACTTTCCAACCGTTTTTTTTTTTTTTTTTTAAACCAATTCTGACACAAGCCATCTGTTTTGGTTACCTTGTGCTGCTCTGACAAGAATATATCACAAATTGGATGGCTTGAACAAACAGGAGTTTATTCTCTTACAGTTTAGAGGCTTTAAGTCCAAGTTCAAAGTGCCAGGCTTTAGGGGCTAGGTGAAAGCCCCTCAACCTTGGCTTTAGCTCTGCTTCCTGCTCCAGCCCACTGAAGCTGGAGGCTTTTCTTCACTCAGCTTCTGGCTGCTGAGGCGGACAAGCCCAAGGTTGACAAGTAAAAAGGCACAGTCCCGATATTACCAAACCACACAGCAGGCCATTAATTCAAGTCCATTGAAAATCCCAAGGTCAGCAGAGCACAGCAGTCTATTGAACAACGACACAGCTACATGCAGGGTTCAAATATCCCATAAGCTAGAGACTGTTCCCCAAGGCTTCTCCTTATATACAGGAAGCAGACCACATTCCCTAAGGCAGTTACTCAGCTGCTCACAGTAGATTACACCATGGAGTTGATTACCAGTCTCAACATGGGGAATACTACATCCAGCTGCCCAGCCACTCAACCAGGCCCTGCCAAGTTGACACACAAACTTAACTACCACACCATCCCTTCCACAACACTCTCTACTTCTCTCCTGGGTTTGATAATTTGTTGCAATGGCCACACAGAACTCAAACCATACCTACAGTTAAGTGGTTTATTAAGGAAATAATAGGCTATACTCAGGATCAGAATCAGGAAATATGAAGGCAAAGTCTAGAAGGCTCCTTCAAAGTGGAGAACACATCCCTCCCTTCTTCAGTGGAGGACAGCTCTCCCAGCATTTCTCAGCCATGCAAGGAAGCAGGCCTTTCTCTCTGCCATGCATTCCCCCTCTCAGCCATGCAGGCCTCCTCTAAGCCCCTTGAGGACAGGCTCTCTGCCTTCAGCCATCCTGCCATCAGCCTCTCCACTGCTGAATGATGCAGCTCATAGCCACTGTAGCATTTTTGTTCAGTTCTCTTAACTGCATTCTTAACAGCAGATTTCTGTTGTCATCACCAACTCTGCTACAGTGCCCCTTCTGGGCCTCTTGCTGTCTTCAATGTTAGAGCCCTTGATCTATGTTACAACTCCTTCAGGAGGTTCTTTGTCCCCTTTCTGCTGCTTTTATCATCTTTCTTGCTTCTGCTAACCAGAAGGCTGAAGAGTTGGCTGCATATATAAGCAAAGTCCTTGTCAATTTCAAGGCAAGGCTCTCCCACCAGGGGCCACAAACTGACCAATCATCTCTCAGTAAACCAGACACTATGCAAATGACATAGTACATTGCCCAATCCCTGCAAGATACACACCAATCAGAGGGCAGGCTGCAGCCTAGGGCCAGACAAAAAGTATCAGATCATCCTTGTTTACAGTTTACCCAGGAAATGTCAATCAACCAGGGAAAAAGTAACAAACCCTTTGGAGTAGAAAACTATGGTGAAGGTAATTCCTCAAGGCTTAAGGAGGAAAATCTTTGAAGCTGTTTTTCCAAAAAACCAAGGCAAAACACCACTTAAAGGAATTTGTTTCTCCACAGCAGCCAATCAGTTAGAAGAGGCATTTCCTAAGGGGTATGGCCTGCATCCATGAAATAAACAGATATTCTGGCAAAGATTTTTCTCAGTCCTGCATTCATCTCATTGTAGTCTGACCTCCAGCTCTCAGGTTGAGCTTTCAGCTTACTGCCTGACCTGGAGATTTTGGACTCATCAGCTCCTTCAAGGATGGTGAGACTTCATCTCATGTACTTTAGACATGTTATCAAGAAAGACCAGTCCCTAGAGGAGATCATGCTTAGTAGAGGGTCAGCAAAAAAGAGGAAGACCCTCAACAAGATGGACTGACACAGTGGCTGCAAACAATGGTCTCAAATATACCAACAATTGTGAGGATAATGCAGGATTGGGCAATATTTCATTCTGTGGGACATGGGGTTGCTATGAGTTGGAACTAACTTGATGGCACCTAATAACAACAGCTGCCCCTGCAACCATGTGCATCAGAAGCCTCTAGCCTGCTGTCTGACCCATGGATTTGGGACTTGCCAGCCTGCACAACTATATGAGTCATTTTCTTGAAATATATCTATGGGGGAGCTCTGGTGGCATAGTGCCTAAGGCATTTGACTGCTAACCAGAAGGCTAGTGGTTCAAACTGACCAGCCACTCCTCAGAAAGAAAAT